ACTGCAGAACCAGAGAGACAAAACCAGAAAACCAGAATGAACCGAGAGCAGAATTCCCAGTTGAAGCCCCCCATACCTTGTGGCAGACTTGGCAGGTCCCGAAATATCCGAACTCTGGGAATCCTCGTTCTGGTCTAGAGGAAAACAATGAGGATCACCACTGTTAGGGCTCTGCACAGCTCAGGAGCCCTCCAGTGTTTCAAGGATTTAGTTTTAACTTGTGTCACTGTTTAGAGCAGTCAAACATTAGGGTGGGAGGGTGGAAGGGTCTGCTCCCACCTCCCAAAAGCTTCCACTTGGAGTTGGTTCGGAATTCCTCCATGAGCTTAACCTCATCAGGACGTTCATCAATGAACTCTGCCACCTGGAAACACACCACCACGGTAAACAAGAGAGCTGTGAAGGAAAAAAGAGGCAGGATTCCCACCCTCCAACACAACTTATTCAGCAGAACTGCTGATGGACACTGATGTGTGACCGTCCTTTAGCTGCCTTCCCAGGGGAAGATCTCAAAACAACTTTCCAAAGCCTTTTTCTTCAACATTTCCCCGTTCACTGCCAAGGTTTCTATCCTGAGCTACACTGCAGCAGCCACCAGCCATCCCAGTTCCTCCTGCCTTGTTCCAGCAGCTGTTGTGACGCTCAGAACTGCTGTGCTCTTGGAAAACACAGAGCCGTAAAGAACAGGCTCCTTTGAGCTCGCACAGCTCTCCAGGGCTCCGAGCAGGAATCCCACCCAGGGAGACAGGAGGAGAAGGGATTTGGCGTCTGAAACCGCCGGCTCACCACAGGCATGTCCGCTTCGTCGTCCTCCTCCTCCTCCTTCTGGGGGGCGGCGGCGATGCTGTTCCAGCTCACGTCGTCATCCACGATCCGCATCCTGCGAGCGGGGAGACCGTCAGGAGCGTCCCGGCCCCGGGAGGGGAGCTCAGGGCGGGGTTCCGGGGAGATTTTGGGGCACCGCGGAACCCGGGCCCGCCGCAGGCCGCGCCGCCCCCTTTCCCCCCGGGACTCACCCGGCCCTGCCGGTGCCGCCCGGCGGCCTCTTCTTGCGGCGGCGGCGGGGCTGTGCGGGCGCGGCGGGGCCGCTCAGGTACCGCTGCAGGTACTCGGCCTTGGACACCCCCGGCGCCGCCATCGCGGCCGCTGACGCGCAACCGCCGCGCCGGCAGGAAGGGGCGGGGCCACAGCGATGTGTGCTGGGTGGGCGGGGCGGTGGGCGGGGCCAGAGCGCAGACCGGCCGTAGATAGAGCTGCGATTGGGCGGGGCCAGACGGGCAATGGCCATAGAAGGCGCGGAGGGGGCGTGGCCAGGCCGCGATGGGAGCTGTGGGCGGGGCTATGAAGGGGCCGTGGGCGTGGCCAGGCCGCGCCCAGCGTTGTGAATGGAGCACGGGCGGACGCGGCACTTCCCTTATTTTGTCCGTGTATCTTTATCCAAACACCTTTATTTGGGGGTCGCGGCTCCAATTTCCAGCCCCTCGCCCCCCCCCCATCAACATAACACCTCCCGCAGGGAGGCCCCGAGGCCCAGCCCCGCTGCCTTCAGCCTGGAGCAGCTCCCCTGACTCCCAGGAAGGGGAGAAGAGTCCTGGCCCCAAACAAGTCCTGGTCCCTGGAGCGGCTGGGAAAGGGGCCGGAGGGGTCTGGCGCCCCCTGCTACCGGCCCGAGGCGCCCTCAGGCTCGTAGCCCTCCGTCTTCATGTCGTTCAGCCCCAGGTCCTCGTTCTGCTCGAACGTGCGCTCGTAGCGCTCCACCCTCAGCTCCGGGTCCTCCTCCGGGGCGTACACGTTCTGTGGGGAGAGGGGAAAACCTCCTGCACTGCCCTCTTTCCAAGGCTGGGGCACCCTGCCCCCAAGAACCCCCAGAGCAATACAGAAGAGCCCACGCCAGGGGCCCAGGGCTGTACCTGGAGGTAGCTGTTGCCTGCAGGGTCATCCATGATGAAGTGAGCCTTGTTCTTCCCGTCTATGATCTGCAGGAATAGAGCAGGTCCAGCCATCAAGGCTCTTCCTAATCCTTCAGCACTTCTGGCAGAGGATGGGAATTCAGAGCACACTCACCTCCTGCAGCTTCCCAATGAACTCCTGCAGCTTCCCCGTCCTGCTGGGCACAGAGCTGTCCCCCAGAGTGAAGGGGTTCCTCTCCACCTGGAAGGGCAGGTGAGCACCTGTGAGGCAGCCAGAACCAGGGCCAGCCCAATCAGGGGCACAGAGGGGGCTGAGCCCCACCAGGCTGGCACAGCACACTCACCAGGTCACGGATGTCCTTCAGCAGCCCCTCCAGCGTGGTGAACTTGCCCCCCAGCGCTCCCATCCCCAGCTCAAACTCCAGCTCTGGGATCTCCACACTGCATGTCTCAGACTGTGACAGTGAACACCCTGTGAGTCCCCATGGAGAGATGGCTGGGCCCCCCTGGACTCCTCACAGCCTCCACAGGAGGACAGGGCAGGTATCCAAGGGTAGTGTACCTTCAGGATGTCCCTTGTCATGTCAGAAGGGTCTGTAATCCGGAGGGTAATCCTGGTGCCTTGTGGTTCAATCGCTCCTCCAGACTTCACCTAGGAACAGCTGGCAGTCAGCTCCATGGAATTCACACTCAAATCACACCACAGTGCTTTAAGTGCAGCCCAGAGGCCACTGGAAACCTGGTACAGTGCCTGAAGTCAACCCCAAACCTGGGACAGAGCCTCAACACCCAGCATAAAGCACCTCCTGACACCGCCCCCAAATCCAGCCTCCCTCCCAGCCTGGCTCCAAACCACCACACTGGGAAGCAGAGCTCAGGGACAAAGGCACCCACCCCACCCCCAAAAAAAAAAAAAAAAAAAAAAAGAGGTCAGCACTTTTTCAGCTCACCTCATTTGTCCTGTGCCCACAGGAGTCGCAGTTTGTGGCCATGATAATCACTTCCTTGAAGTGTGGGATTTCTGGAGCAGACAGTCAAGGAAAACCTCAAGGCAGCAGCCTCGGTCCTTCCCGAGGTACTGCAGGAGACAGCTCTGCACCCTGGCAGGCTCCACTAGAGAATCCATCCAGGTGCAGCAGGAAGAGCCCAGGGTCAGCACAGGGACCCTCACCCCACCCCACCTCCCTGCAGACCCCCACCCACGTCCACCCCCCTCAAAGGATACGCACCACCTTCATGTTGGTGTTGGCCGGGGCGTTGCACTCAGGGCAGTTGGTGTTGAACTGCAGGACCTGGGGCAGGGCAAGGGAAAGAGGGGTCAGGACGTCCCAGTCAGCCCAGAACACCCCTCCTGGGTGTCACCTCTGCACTGCAACATCACCCACCTCGTCCCTCAGATCCTCTGCAGCGTCAGGCGGCTTCGCATCCACCTCCTCCCCCTGCAAGAGAAGCAGGTTCCCCAATTTGGGGGCTCCCAGGGAACAAGGGATTCATCAGCCCTGCTCCCTAGGCCGAGAGCACATGGCCCAGCAGCCCCCAGTCACCTCCAGTCCCAGCAGAGCAGCCTGCTGGGGGGTCCTCCTGTAGTGGGTGACCACGAGGGCGTCGTCCCGCCGCGGCGCGTGGGGGTTCTCCACAAAGCTGTTCCCTGAGGGATCGTCGATGATCTGCGGGAAAAGGGAGCCTGAGGGAGCCATCCTGCACTCCCCGTGCCAAACAGGGCCTCCCTCCCGTGTGCACTCACAAAGGTGAAGGGGGAATTCATTTCTTTCAGCTGCCTCAGTTTTCCAATGAACTCGTCTATTTTCCTGGCCACCTCTTCGTCTGTCGCCTGCAAGATGACACGGAATCATTTAGGTTGGAGAAGACCTCCCAAGATCACCGAGTCCAACTGCTGCAGGGGCTGCCCAGAGCTGATGGCAAAGGTGATCCTGGCACAAGAGCCCCCAGTGCTCTCCCCCACCACCCCTGCACGACACCAGCAGGCAGGGGATGATCAACCCAAGGATTTGCCATCCCTGAGGAGCTCCCCCTTTCCCAGCACCTCACCCTGCGCACGGGCTGGTCCTGCTCCAGGCCTGCCACAGCTCTGTCAATGATCCCCTCGATGGTGGTGAGGACTGGAGAGGGGAAGAAAACAGAGGTGATGGCACCATTCACACACCACAGCCCCCCCCCAAACTGTTCTGAGCTGGGGGGCACATCACCCACCTCCCTTCTGGGAGAAGGCAGGGATCTCAAAGTCCAGCTCTGGAATTCGAGCCATGGCACAGTCAGTCTTCACCACCTCCCTGTTCATGTCCTGTATACACAGTTGGGGAGCAGCATTAGGATCCCCAGCAGATCCGGGGGCTCCCACACTGGGCTGTGCAGCAGCATTGGCTCCAGCCCCCTCTCCGCTGGGAACGTGCACATTTTGTGCTTGGAACAGTTACTGCCAAACAAATAAAGCTATTTGCCAAACAGCACGGAAGATAAACACTTTGTGGCTGGAGCCAGACCAGCCCGTGAGGGACAAAGGTGTGCACAGGGCAGCCCCCCGTGCCCTTCACCTGGCGCGAGGTGACAGCCAGGGTGTAACACACGCCCTGCTCCTGGATCCTGCCCGCTGACTGGATCTCCGTGTTGGACCAGGAGCAGCTGTCGCAGGAGAAGGAGCTGACGATGATCTCTTTGAAGAAGGGGATCCTGGTGAGCAGGAGCCGCGTCACTCCCTGTCGTGGGAACCCGAACCCTCAGGGCAGCGTTCCGCAGGCCCCACATCCCTGTCAGCCCCTCCCAGCGTGGGCACCTCCCTGATCCCAAACCTCTCCCCACCCCAGCAGCCCCTGCCCACCTCCCTCCACATCCCACCAATGCCCCCCGCCCCAGCCGCGGGCCCCAGTGCATCCTCCCTTGCTCCTGCAGACCCCTGTACCGAGACCCACATCCCTGCAGCCCTCTGTGTCCCCCACCCGCCAACCTCTGTCCTGCCCCCACCCCGACCCTCGCAGACCCCTGCACACCCCGTCCTGCTCCCCCGCAGATCCCAGTACACCCCGGACCCCTGCACAGCCCTGCACACCCCGACCCCCGCAGACCCCCATGGGGGCCCAGCCCCGGCTCCCCCCGCTCCCTCACGTTGCGGAAGCAGTTCATGCAGAGGGACTCGATCTCCGCCGGCTGCTGCTCGCCGTCGTCGGCGCTGAGGGGCCGGAACAGGGACCCCCCCGAGCCCGGGCCCGAGCCCGGGCCCGGCTCCATCGCCCCCAGCGCCGACATGGCGATGCCCGCCCGCCGTCACGTGGCGCGGGCGGTCACGTGTCCCAGGGCGGTCACGTGCCCCGGGCGGTCATGTGACACGTGCTCCCATGGCCACGATGGCGGCGCCTTTATTGCGGTTCATCCCCGGACCCAGGCCCGCGGCCCCCGCCCATCACCGCTCCCCGCCCGCCTCCCCGCCCAGGCTGAGCGCCAGGTCCCTCCACAGCGCGTCCAGCTGCGCCCGCAGGTCCTCCACGGGCGGCGGCGGCGCGTCCCGCGGCTCCTCCGGCGGGTCGGGGCGGGCGCTGAGCTTCAGCCGCATCTCCTCCGTCTCCTGGTCCAGCGCCCGCGTGAAGGCCTGGATCTGGACGTAGGTGTCCCGCCGGAACTCCTCCACCCGCCGCTGCACCTCCCGAGCCAGCGCCTCCCGGTATCGGCCTGGGGGGGCCGGGTGCTCCCCGAGGCTCTCGGGGTACAGGCTCAGCTTCGCCTTCAGCTGCTCCAGGTTCCTCTGGATCTGCTGGTGCAGGTCCCGCGCGTTGCGGGTCAGCTTGGCCGACAGCTCCTGGATGTGCTGGTTGAGCTGCTCCGGGGTGGCGCGGGCGTGGGGGGCCACGGAGCGGTGCAGCTCCTGCACGTTGCGGTGGATCTCGGTGGCCAGCCTGTCGGCGTACGGGTGCAAGATGTCCTTCACCTGGTCCGTGTGGAAGGCGATCTTGTCGGCGTAGTGGGCCATGAAGCGCTGGAGCTCGCCGGCACCTTCCAGGAGCTGCGCCGTCACCTCCCGGCTCGGCAGCAGATGCCGCCGGAGGTCCCGCGCCCGCAGGGACACCTCGTCCAGCAGCTCCTCCGTGAACGGCTGCAGCTGGTGCCGCAGGTCGTCCAGGTGCTTCCCGACCTGGTGGTGCACCTCGTCCACGTACGGGGACAGCTTCACCCGCAGGCTCTCCAGCTCCCTCCGGATGACCTTCCGCAGGCTGTCCGAGTCCTGGGACAGCTGGGGCTGGGGGCCCCTGGGGAGGGGTGACAGCTTCCCCAGGAAGTCTCCCATGTAGCTGACTCCATCCTGAATGCTTTCCTTCAGGTTCCTGCAGGAGACAGTCACCAAGCACCCCTGACTGACCACAGCACCCCTCTGTGCCCACACTGCCCCCTAATAAACACCAACATCCACAAGGGCACTCCCGTGAGCTTCTGTGCCCCCAGGGGGAGAGAAGCAGGGCCCCAGGTGTGCTGGGGGACCCCGGGGCACTGTACTCACGTGATGTCCTTGCCCAGCTTGCCATGGCTGCGCTCCAGGCTGTCCTTGTCCCCTGTCAGCTGGCTCAGGTATTCCCAGAAGCTGCCCTTCCCCGCCTGGGCCGGTGACACTGTGGGTGGGAGGGTGGCATGAGTGGGGTGTCCATAGTGCTGCCCCCCCCCCGCCCCTGTGCCCACACCCACCTGGGAAGGCAGCCAGGAGGGAGAGGAGCAGCACAGCCTTCAGCAGCATGGTCTGCTGGGCTGGGCTCTGCTGGGCTGTGGGAGAGATGGGAGAGGCTGCTCTGCCAAGTGCTCACAGGGTAGTGGTGGCTCTGCTTCACACCCCGTAACACCTGGGGTCTCCCATAACACTTGGGGTCCCCCTATAAACACCTGGGGTCCCCCATAATACCTGGGGTCCCCCATAATACCTGGGGTCCCCTGTAACCCCGCCATTGTGCACCTTTGAACTCACACCCAGCTCCTCCGGCCGCACAAAGCCAAACGAGGCACAAGGTGCCCCGTCCCTCACCTGGCTCTTGGTGTCTCCCGTGTCCCTCCCGCCGGGAGCCGGCCCGCGGCTCCCTTATATAGGTCCGGGGGGAGCAGAGGAGCGGGTGATAAGGCCCTGCGGCACCTTTTTGGACCTCACTCCGTGTAAACACAACGTGGAGGTCCGTGCACGTTCCTGGGAGGTGACCTGGGGGACGGTCACCTGACCGCCCGCTGCCCCCCGCGCTCACTGACCCTGCCCCGAAGCCGACCTTCACATCCCAGAGGGAATGCTGGATGGAACCGCCGGGGCGGTGGGGATGGGGCCGCCGGCTGCACCTCCTGTCGCGGAGGCCGAGGGGGTGGAAAGGGAGCCGGGACCCCCGGGATGGGTGCGGGAGGGTGAGCCCGGCGCCGGCTGTGCCAGGGAAGGGTGGCACGAGCGGTGCCAGCAGCCCAGACAGGGAGCACAGAGCACACCTTTCCTGGGGCTGCCCGCTCCCGCCGGATACCCAGCCCGCCGTGCTCGGCTTTTTTCCCCCGGGAATACAAACGGGCACCCTGGGTGGGGGGCGAAGTCCGGCACTCCCGGGGTGAAACGCCGAGCAGTCGCCGGCGCTGTTCCGGCACCGAAGTCCGCGCGGCTCCCTCGCCTGTGCCAACGCGTGAGGTCGCTCCAGGCAGCGCTGGCCGTTCTCCAGTCTCATCCCATCCTTTCCCTTCCCATCCTACCCCGTGCTCCCACCAGCAGAACGGCTCGAGGGGCTCGCTGTGGCCATCGCTCAGTCAGTTCCCTTTTCCTCTCCCTGAGGCACGGCCCACAGAATCCCATCCTCCGCGGCACAGTGGGGATGCACAGCTGCACCCCGGGGCTCTGCCCCTCTGGAGCCCCCGGGCTGCTGTGGCACCCCAGTGAGGTGATGCCGGGGCCCTGGTCCCATGCTGGCCCTTGGGCTCACCTGGCTGCCACCACCTCCAGCCAGCACTGAGGCCCTCATCCACCTGCCCCCAACTTTGTGCCCTCTCCCAGGTTCCCCAGAACATTCAGGGTGATGTTCCCCCCTCAGAGCAGCTGGACCAGGTTGCCCAGGTTGCCCATCCCGGGGCAGGACAGCAGGATACTGTGGGGAAGGAAGGACACGGACCGACATGTGCATCACAAGGTTTATTTCTGCTGTGGGCAGAGGCTGGGAGTGCTTGGAATGTGGGGATGGCTGGCCAGCCCGTGGCACCGGGGAGGACTCAATTCTCAGGGGGAGGGATGGTGCTGAGGAAGGCGGACACCTTCTCCCGCACCTCCTTCTCCAGCAGCTGCAGGTGATCCTCCACTCCAGCGGTACCCGACTCCAGCTTCCCGCGCATCTCCTCCAGCTGCTGCACCAGCTGCTTCCCGAAGGCCTCTCCGAAGGGAGCCGCCTGCTGCCGGAAGGCCTCCAGCGTCTGCCCCACGCGCTGGTCCAGCTGCTGGGCCAGGGGGGCCAGGCGCTGCCTCAGGCTCTCGGCGTCGCCGCTCGCCGCCTCCCGCAGCTCCCGTGCCAGCGGGCTCAGCTGGGCACGCAGCTCCTCGGAGCTGGTGGCCAGGCGGGCGCGCAGCTCCTCGGCCGCCCGCTCCATCTGCGCCGTCAGGCTCTCCAGCTGCCGGTTGAGCCCGTCCTGCACCTCCTGGGCGTAGGGGCTGAGCCCGCGCCGCAGCTCCGCCACGCTCTGTGCCACCTGCGCCTTCAGCTCATCGGCCACGGGCACCAGCCGCTCCTTCAGGCTCTCCACGCCACCATCAATCTGCTCCTGCAGCCGGTCGGCGTAGGGGCTGAGGGAGGCCTGGATGCTCTGGGCGTTGTCCTGCAGCCGGTCCCGCAGCTCGGTCGCGTAGGGCTCCAGCACCCGCTGCAGCTCCCCGGCCCCACGGTCCACCTGGGAGCGCAGCTCCTCGGCGTAGGGGCTCATCTTGGCCTGCAGCTGGCGGATGTTGGTGCCGATCTGCTGGTGCACCTCGTCGGCGTAGGGCGCCAGCTTGGCCTGCAGCTCCGCCAGCTCCCGCCGGATCTGCTCCTTCAGCCGCTGCGAGTCCTGCGCCAGCCGCGCCTGCAGCTCGGTGGCAAAGGGCACCAGCTTCTCCTGCAGGTCCTCAGCGTAGGCGCTGACACTCTGCAGGTTGGTCTTCAGGAGGGTGCTGGGGAGAAGGGACAGGTCAGTGCCCGTGTGCCCCCGGCACCCCCCGAACCTCCTGAGCCCCCACGAGCCTCAGCCCGTGGCTCAGCTCACTTGATCTGCTTGGTGAGCTCAGTCTGCTGCAGCTGGTCCACTGACTCCTTGGCATTGCTGCCCAGCTCTGTGAAGTACTTCCAGATCACACTGGCCACCTCGTCGGGGTTCACGTCAGCCCGTGCCCCTGCAAGGGGATGGCGGGATCAGTGCCAGGACAATCCCACTCCGCTGGGGACAGCAGGTCCCCACTGCTGCCCTGAGGCAGGACCCCCCTGTGAGCACCAGGGACCCACACGTCACCTCACCTGAGACTGCGAGGAGCACCAGGACAAGGGCGGCCACCTTGGGTGCCATCCTGAGCACTGGGGACTCCTGTGGGAGCACAGAGAGGAGGTGAAGGGAGCCCCAGAGGCCAGCAGCCCCCCAGCCCCCTGCCCCACCACAGGCCACGGAGGCACTGGCTCTCCCCAGCCCTTGCAGCTGCTCACCTGTGCTGCCACGGCCGTGGTACCTGCCGAGCCAGCAGCTCCCCGCGCTATTTATGCAGCCTGAGCACCCCCGTGGCTTCCACGCAGGCTGTGACACAGCCCCGGGCTTGGACTTTAGCAAAGTTGAGACGTGGAAGCACCTGATGTGTGCGCAGCCCTGACATCACCCGCAGCCCTGACATCACCCGTGGCCCCGGTGAACCCACCGGCTCCCAGTGAGGTGCCAGGGCAGAGAGGGGTTGGGGGTACACGGGACACACGGGGGCTGAGCCCCTCCTGAGGATGGGGACCCTGGGCAGAGGGGACAGTTCACTGCTCTGTGGGATGCAGTGGTGGCTGTGCTGGTGCCAGCCGTGCAGTACCCGGGATGTGGGGTGGTACCTGGGATGTGTGGTGGTGGGACAGGGCACAGGACCCCCCCAGCCCTGCCACCAGCTGTGCTGTGCCTAGGATGGGCAGCAGGGCAGGACACGGGCTCAGGGTGATGCTGTGATGGAGCTGGGGGTTCACAAGGCTGTGTATGTGCACAATGGCACTGCTCCTTCTCAGCCCAGGCTCCTGGAGGAAGCCCTGCCAGAGGAACAGGTCAGGACCCCTCAAGAACTGCAGCCACGGGGTGCTGGTGTGCCTGGGAATGGAGGGGGGGGGGCCGTGCGTGTCGCTGGCCGTGGGCACTGGGCCCTTGGCACACCCCTGGGGTGCAGCTCTGCACCCCCGGCTCAGCCCACCCCCACCCCGGGCCCCTGCTCGGGCTGCAGAGCAGCCGGGATGTGTCACCGCGGGCAGGGGCAGGGACCGGCCGGGCACTGACAGGGACAAGGTCCAAAGGGCTCTCGCGGTGCCCGAGGGCGTCGTGCCCGGGGCCGGAGCCGCTGGATGTCACCCTTGTGCCGTGTGTGCCCAGGGCCCCAGGCGTGTCCCCAGGGCTGCACTCACCGCGCTGTGCCCTGCAGCGGGCACCGGGCTGGCTGCGCACACGGGTGTGCACAGACACACATGTGCACGGACACACATGTGCACAGACACACATGTGCACAGGTGTGTGCACACACACGGATGCACACGGAGCCCCGGCAGGCTCCATCCCCGCGGGATTTCCCAACTCCTGGCCGGATGCAGCCCCCCTGCATCCCCCCCCCGTGCCCCGCTCCCGGCCAGCCCCCCGCCCTGACCTTTGCACAAACCCCCTCAAGGGCGGCCGTGGGGAGGGTATAAAGGGGGAGCCCGGGGCTGCCCCCGCGTCGCAGAGCCCGGCACAGGTGAGTGGGGACACCCCTGGCGAGGGTCGTGCTGGGAAGGGGACGGGGTCGGGGTCGGGGCCCCTGTGGCCCCCCCTGCCACCCCCACCATGTGCTCTGCTCTCTCCCCAGCCATGAGGGCGTCGCTGCTGCTCCTGCTCGCCTGCACGGCCGTCCTGGCAGTGGGAGCAAGTAAGGGACAGCGAGGGCTGTGTGGGAGGAGGGCGTCGGGGCTCAGGGTGCTGGGGCACACTGGGGGGGGGGCACAGCCCCGGGGCCCCGTCCCCCCACTCCCAACCGATTCCTGCTCGCAGGGGCCGACTCGCCCGAGGAGCCGAAGGCGCTGGTGCAGAAGGTGCAGGAGCTCGCCCAGAAAGCCTCAGCCATGGCCAAGGACGCCTTCAGCAGGGTGCGGGAGTCAGAGGCAGCACAGCAGGCCAGGTGCCCCCGACTGCCCCAGCCCAGGACCTGTCCCTGTCCCCCAATCCCAGTGGGGAGCCCGTCCAGGCCCACACTGATCCCCTGTCCTCCCTCCCCTCACAGGCAGTGGCTGACGGACAACACGGAGCTGGTGAAGCAGCGGCTGGTCTGGCTCAAGGAGCAGCTGGCAGAGCTCTGGAAGAAGACACCAACCATGTAGCCCCACCAGGGACTGGCTGGAGTCCCACTGGGCTGGGGTCCCCCTGGCTCCCACCCGCTGTCGTGGTTCTCTCAATAAAGTGGGGCTGAAGCAAATGGCTGTGGTGGCATCGCTGTGGAGATGGGGAGGAGGAGTGTGAGCTGTGGAGAGAGGGAGGGCTGGGACAGGCACCAGCACATGGCCATGTCACGGTGCCCAGGGTGGCAGGAGCTGGGTTCTGCTTCCACAGTCCAGGGGGCTCCAGGTCCTGCAAACCCAGTCCCAGTGCCCTGCAGAGCCCTTTGTGTGAGTCCAATCCTGGCTGCACCCTGGGCAGAGCTGGGCTCAGTACAGGGTGAGCCCGGGGCACCCCAACACCAGCTCCCTGTCCCCCCATTCCCTCTTGGGTTCTCCAGTACCCCCAGCCCAGAGAATCCCTCACCCCCAGCCCCAGTTCAGGCTGTGCCCTCCAGCATCCACTGCAAAGACTGAGCGAGCTCCAATAACTTAAGTCATGTTTATTTGACAAAAGGGAGGCAAAGCTGAGAGCGACGCCAAGGAGGGGAGGGGAGGGGTAGAAAGGAGAGGAGAGGGTCTCTGGGGAGGACACCCCAGGGCTGGGCTGGCCCAGGGCTCCGGCAGCTCGTCCCCAGAGCCCCCCGAGGGGAAGCACCCGGGGCAGGGCAGGGAGCACCCCGAGGCAGCTGCGGGGCTGGGGTCAGTCCCTGGCTGCACTGGCTGGCAGCTCAGGCCACGCTCTTCTGGAGTTCGTCCAGGAAGGAGATGAAACGGGCCTTGAGGGTCTCGGTGTAGGGGGTGAGGCGCTCCTTGAAGTCCTGCACCAGGGGCGTCACCTTCTCACGCAGGTTGCTGAGGTGCTCCACCACCTTGGCCTGGTACTCGGCAGCCTGGGGGATACCCTTCTCCCGGATCTCCTCCAGCTTCTGGCTCAGCTTCTGCCTCAGCTCGTCGCTGAAGGGTGCCACGTTCTTGCGCAGCTCCTCGACGTGCCCGCGCAGCCGGTCCCGCGCCTCCTCAG